GCGAGGTTTCAACCGACGCGGAAGACGTACGCGTATTACGTCGACGCCGGTTCGCCGCACGACCGTCTTCGCGCGGGCGTACGCGTGTCAGTCGCGGCTGGCGCGCGTGTGACGTCGACGCACTACGTCGAGCGTGTCAATATTTCGTCGGGACGCGAGATTTTCGCGCGTTCGCCAACACGTCATCGTTCGCCCGTCGTCGCTCTGCACGATGTGCGCTCCCTTGGACAACGCTTTAAACAGCTCGAACGCCTCGGCGAGCGGTCCGCGCGCGCGCCTCGCCGTGCTCTCGGCGTCCATCGTCCCACCCGTCGCCAACGCCGCGGCTTCGTCGTCGCTCAGCGCGCCATCGCCCCCGATGGATGTATCGATCATATCCGCGTACGCCGACATGGCCTGCGCCTCGGCGTCGAGCCCTAGGCCGGCGCCCGGGGAGAACTCATTCGACTTTGATTTTCTCGCATTTTCGAGAGCTTTCGTGAGCGCTCGAGCGTCGTTTTCGTCCGAGCCGATCGCCCTCGGGCTCGCTCGCGATCGTCTTCGCGCGACGCTCGCTCCGATGGGCGAACGGACGCGCGTGGAGACGATGGAGCGCATTTCAGGGAGACGCGCGGCAGAGACTGACGCTCGAGTGTCGTCACATGTCCTCCGACGCCGACGCCGACGCATCGAGCGAGGGCGAAGGGGAGGGGCGAAGCGCGCGCGTGCGTCGTTTCCAACGGCCCCAGACGTCGCAATCGCGCTCGAGGACGAAGGCGAGGGTGGTGGGACGACGAAAGTCCTCGTTCGACGATTTGCGAGGAATTTCACTAGCGCGCGCGCGGGCGTCGCGTTCGTGCGTCTCAGACGACGAGAGCGAGCGACAGAGTCTGAGAACGTTCGCGGGAGACGTTACGGTGAGCGACGTGGCGCGTCGGCGGGCGCTGGAGGAGAGACATAGGAAGATGCGCGCGCTGCCGAGAGGGTCGCGGTACGCGAAGCGACAGCTCGAGTTGATCGACAAGGCGCTGGAGATTCTGGGAAGGGTGAAAGCGCGAGGCGGGAAGCGGACGAGCGAAGAGGAAGATGAGCTCGCAGGGTTACTGAAGGCCGTAAAGCTGTAGATGGTAGAGGTGTGGGCGTTCAGAAGTGCGCGTTGTCTGATTTTTAGTGTAACAAAGATGGTATGCCCACTCAAGACGTCTTATAAATTCGGCTCGCGTCGCGAAGGATGCGTTTTTTGCGAATTCTATACTGAATCGCCGTTCGCTCGTTCCCATTCGCCGTTTTCAACGCCTCTTCGTCCTCCTCGATCGTCGTCGGATACTCAGCGAGTCTTGATTCGACGGCGGCACGAACGGCGTCCGCGGCGCGTCTCTCCGGCGCGCCGCCGCCAAGCTTAAATCCGTCAACGCCCTTGGCCGCGGCGTACTCCTCGGGTGTGGCCAAGACTGTTCGAAGTGCCCACAACAATTTAGGGTCGGCGTTCCCGTCAGAGATAAAGTTACCCTCCCACAACGCTTGATCCAATTCCGGATGCGTTCGCTTGAGCGTCGAGAGACGTTTCTGGTCAGCACCGAGTGCACGCTTCATCGGATCGTATGAAGCCTGCAAGTATGACATCAAACCCTCGAAGCGATAGATGTCCGCGACGTTGTCGACGTCGACGAACCCGTAGCGAGTGATCAACTCGTCGTTATTCAACACTCCGTACGAGATGAGCACTTCTTCGCCAGTTTCGTAGTCTTTTGGCGCTCGCAAGACAAACGCACCTCTATCAAATTCGAACTCCGTCTTGATCATCGTCTTGTGATTGAAAGCGTCGATCAGAGGCATGAGCACGTACGCCGTCTTGCTATCGCGCTCGGTGTTGCTCGTACTGTCGAAGACTGTGAGCGCTAGCACAGCGAAAACCGCCAACCATCGACCCTCCGCTGAGGAAGCCGTCATGAAAGTTAAGAAGCACATCCCCACCGCGAGCGAGCGCGGGAGTAGCTTCGCCCTGAGTTTATCGCTATCCACCAACCTTCCGCTGAACACGCGCGAGCGAACGGTGTCGAGCGCCCATACGATTTCCTCGTCCGACGTCGCCGCCAACGCCCCACCCGTCGCGGCGTGTTTCCTCACCAATCTGATCGCCTCCGCGTTCTCATCCCGCTGCTCTCTCGCCATCTTTCCCGACAGTGGATACTGCATCGCCCGCACTTCCTCATCGCTGTACGATCCGATCAAGTCGTACCGTCGCGGCAGCTGGGACACGTACGCCGCGAACGCGCTCTCCGCTCCCAACTTTCGCTCTCGCAACAACACGAGCGCCAATCGTAGCGTCCACTTCGCGTCACCGATGGCATCCCACAACGCGTCCGTGACGAAATCCTCGATCGGGTTCGCCTCGCCTTCGAGCACGCACAGGGCGGCTTTTCGCGGGAGCCGCACGAGCGCGTCGTCCGCGCGAATCGCTCGCGTCGCCGTCGTCGTGCGCATCGTCTCCGCATCATCCACCGATTGATTCGTGATACGCACGGCGTCGCCCTGGACGTCGTTCTCTTTGAGCCACGCGTCATAGGCGGAGGCGCGAATGAGAACTTTGGAGAGGCGTCGTCCAGCGCGCCGAGGTCGCGCGCGAGGCGCTGAGCGTACGGCGGGCGACGACGACGACGACGACGGACGGACGAGCGACGCGCGCGCACGACGGCTGTGCGCGCGGGTATGAATGAGCGACGACGTCGTGGAGCGGCAGAGCATCGTCGACGCGGTGAGAGGCGCGCTCTGGCGGTCGCGGCGTCGAGAGGCGCGAGGAGGACGACGCAAGCAAGCGCGTGATATTCACTGCGATGGTCATTTCCAAATCTTGACGCTCATGTCGCGGCTGGCGGAGATCAACATCTGGCTGGCAGCGCCGGAGATGGTGGCGAGGGCGACGACGGCGTCTCGGTGACAGTCGTGACGCTCGTACGCGGTGCCGTGGGCGTTTGATTTGCGCGCGTTCTCCGGAAGCGGCGTCGGGTACTCCTGCTGAATCACCACGCCGCTCACGGATTGCTCTGCGAATTTCGGTCTCGGACCATATATGTTACCCGAGATAACGCGCGACTTGGCGGAGTCGCCTGGGTGCCAGACGCGAATGCACGTGTCCGTGCTGCCGGAGACAATGGCACCGTTGGGGAGCGCAAGCAGGGCTCGCACTCCTGGCGGTCGAGCTGTGGAAGAAATTAGCTCATCCGCGCGTAAGTCTTCACTAAAGTGACCATACGTCGTATTCGCCAACGTCGAGGAGTGAACGTAAGCGCTTTGAGATCTCGGTACGATTCTTAATCGACCATTTGCCTCCATGGCGCTGGGTGGTGCTCGCGCGGCGGCATCAAGCGCCGCGCCTTGTCCTCGCAACACGCGCAAGATGCGTCGACAACCGCCGTCTGCTATGTCCCACAGGGCCACTTCGTCGTGTCCTGCGCCACACCAGACCAGAGGGCGCTTGACGGCTCCCGCAGAGCTTTGTTGTGGCGAAAGCGGCGAAATCGTCATGGCCTCAATCCCGGCTCCGCGCGACGGATGATTCCACTCCTGGACACAGGTTTGGAATCGCATATCAAGCAAGTTGATCGAACCGCTGGCGGTGCCGATAACGAGCCAAGAAGCCGCGCCGCTTGTATCCAAGGCGAGAGACGACGTGACACCAATCTTCGGATTGAGCGGCATCCTGAACGCATCCTTTGGCGCGCGATAATCCCAGCCGTACACCGCACCTGTCTGAGTGATGTAACACACCACGTGCTCGCCGAGAGACGCCACCGCACTCACAGCGCCCTCTGATTTATCCACGTGACGAATCTCAGCGGCGCCCGTGTACCTATCCGGCACCGGTCTCCATTGAGGAGTTTTGCCAGCATCTTTTGTGACATATTCCACACGCCACGCGTGCACAGTGCCATTGTCGCTACCGCTCACAATGTGAGACTCTGACGTGCTGGCCACGGATGTGATTTTTCCACCCTGAGACGCGTACGTCAGTCGTGATTGGAAGGCAACATCCTTTTCTATTCGGCGAGCATCCCAAATTTTACAGCTCCCATCCTCGCTCCCAGTCGCAAAAAACACTTCGTTGCGATCGACAGCGATTGAGGTCACTGTTCCTCTATGTTCTAAAAGCGTCTCCACGAGCACCCCACGAGGTGTCCAGGACATGTCGCTCGCGCTCTTCCTCGCACTTGCCTCTGCATCTGGTGGACCATTAGGTTTGAGCCTATTCGCACCAATATCGAATCTGCGAACGGCCGCAGATAACGTGTCCACGAGAGTCAATTCCCGAGCGTCGATGAGGAGGGCGTCATTCTCTGAATCATCAAGCGATATTGGTCTCGCATCGTGCGGAGTGACGATAGATCTCTTCTGCCCGAAAACCATAGTCCATACGTCGTTCATGTCGCCGTCCTTTACGTCTTCGACGATACTTGGCGGCTCGTTTGATCCATAGCGACCAGATTGCACGGAGCTGGAAGCATTTGCATTTGAAGCAGTTTGACGCACTTTCGCAATCGTCTTGATGTATGATGACATGACATTGATACATGGGAATTCCGCAGCGGCGTTGTATGCCACAATTGATTTTTCATCATCTGCGTTCAGGGAGTTATCGACATCCACAGGTCTATCGAGTCGTGCGCTCACCGCAGCATAAACTGCGGCTGTTCTCATTCCATTTGCTTGCGCGACAGCCGCCTCAAACGCACTTCGAGATGGCGGCGGAAACACGCACATCGCCAAGATATCTGGATCATTCAAAAAGTCTGGGGTTAAGCTCAAGACTTTTGAGCGGTTCGGATCGGAATCGTCCAAGAACGGCTTCACAATTGGTACGAGCCTGGCAAAAGCGTCGACGGGTCCAACACTCTTTGCCGCAGTGGAGAAAAAGTTCTGCGCCGCCGTGCGCACTGCAGCCGATGGATGACAGAGCAAAGGAGCAGCGGACTTCGCGATGTGAAAAATCGCAGGTTTACCGACAAGAATCATCTTGCTTTCTTTTGGATTCGATGCTTGAATCGATGCGAGCCCAGACATGCATCGCAACGCGTGCGCAATCACCGTGTCGTTGATGTCAACAAGGCAACGGTCGATACACGGTACCAAAACCAACTCACAAGACGCTTGACCGACGAACTCTCCAATTTCAGCAATGTGCTTGAAGAACGCGCAGCGCAAGTGCGGAGATGATGTATTCAGACAAGTGATCATGAAAGGCATCAAGAAGTCGTTCGTGTCGTCACGTCCAAAGAAGTGCGCCAGTTGCGCTGAATTCGCCAGTAATTCCTCCCAAATCGCCGCGTCACCGTGGTCTACTTTGCCTCCGAGTAGGTTAAAGACGATATTTTGCACTGTCAATCTTGCTGCGATGAGATCGTCGTCAAAACTGATTGGATCTCCGCCTTGTCCCGAGTTTGCGACGGCGTATTGTAGGAAAGTCAGACTCAAGCGCGAAAGTGGCGCTACAACGGCGGCCACGTTCACGCGCACTAGTCGTGCCGAGTCTGTCGCCACTTTACTCACAAGTGGCCAAATGTACTCCGGGAATAAGCCAAAATCACTCTGAGGAATATCAACCACGTGCTGCAGAATTTCCGCAATGGCGCGCAATGCCTCTGCTCGAACCGACGCTTCACTGTCCTGAAGCATGGACGCACAATACGGCAGCATGAGTTGTAAAATACAGTGGTCAGATGCCAGAGGACTAATCTTGCGCAAAAGTCTCAATGCAGACACTCGGGCATCCATCTTCGTCGATCCGCGCATGGATGAGCAAATGTGCGTCGCGATGAGGCCAACTCCCGGACAGCTAAAGCATGACGACGGATCGAATGCGATCGCCAAGACCTCCTCATTCGTAAGTGCGCTTGAAACAGCGCTCGAGCCACTCTCACTTCTTAAGATATCTACCAGTAGTTCGTCCAGTTCTTCTTCCACCACCGCGATTCGACTGTTATTGTCCACATCCAAAAACTTTGCACTGAACGCATGCAACCTTTTAAAATACGAAGGGAACAACTTTGAATCCTCGTATTTTGCCAGGTAACTCTCCGCGCTGAACCGCTTGTTCGGATCAATGACAACCATAGACGATATCATCGCACGCGCGAGATCGTTTTCGACTCCACTCGAGATCGCATCGAGCGGACTGTGTTCGCCGCGCTTGTACGCTAGCGCACCCGACAAATCAAACAAAGCCTTACCATCCGTGTACAGCTCCGCGAGCGTACATCCCAGAGAGTAGATATCCGCCGCTGGATGCAACACCGGCGGCTCCTCATCGAGCATGTTCTCCGCCACCGATGTCATTTTATCCGAGAACCGCTCTGGCGCAATGCAGCATCGTCGCCTCCCGTCGCTATCAAAAAAGTACGTGAAAACCGCCGGGTTATCCGCCGGCATCTCCGCCGGCTTGTACGACGCAAAATCACACAAAAAGCACCATCCCCACGACGTCACTAACACGTTCTCGCACTTGATATCCCCGTGCACCACTCCGCGCGTGTGTGCGTCCGCCACTGCGTGCAACAACTGATACGCAATCCATGCCCGTTCACCATCCGTCATGAATGGTCGCGCGCTCAGACGTTCGAGCAGACTCGCGTGACAAAACTGCCGCATCAAGTACACCGCGTTAGACGTCTCCAACGCCCGCGTGAACGGCCAACAATGCGGCAGCCTTGGCGCCGGAGTCGTGAGCGCGTCTCGAATCTCCTGAACCATTCTCTCGTGCGCGCGCAGGTCCGGAAACGCCCCCGGCCGCTTCAGGTACACCTTCACCAACGCTATCCCGTCCTTGGACGCGTCCGAGACGCCGGGCGCGTTTACTGAAACGCCGTCGACGCGACAGATTATTGATTTTAAAAATCGTCCAGTGCCTGGGAGGTGATCCTTGTACACCAAGCTCGGGACGTCGGCGGCGAGGACGTCGCCCATCTGGACCTTGGGGGCCGCCGAGTGCGTGTTACCCATGACGCGATTTGAGAGTTATCCGGTCGACATTCGAGGTTGGACGGTCGTCACGAGGCGAAATGAGGCGATGGCAGGCGTTCAGCGCAAGACAGTTGAAAAAAATGTGTAGCGATATCGTTAACAGTCGATGTTGAGCGAGATGTCTAAAGCCTTGACGCTGTGCGTGAGCGCGCCGGAAGAGATGTAGGTGACGCCGGTCTTACCGATCGCGGGAACGGTGTCGAGGGTGACGTTCCCAGAGGCCTCAGTGTCGACGCGTCCGGCGATGCGCCGGACGGCTTCCGTCATGTCTTGGACGGACATGTTGTCGAGCATCAAGCGCGTGATGCTCTTCGTCGTCACGTTCGGGTCATCGAGGAGGGCGATGACGGTGTCCACTTCCTCCATCGTTCGCGCCTCGACCTCTATCTTGACCTCGCTCAGGTTGTTCTCTTCTAAATACTTTTCGCACGCCTCGACGGCTTTCGCGATGCCCCCCGCGGCGGCGATGTGATTATCCTTGATCATCACCATGTCAAACAGACCGATTCGATGATTTTTCCCGCCCCCGATCAACACCGCCCACTTATCGATCACGCGCAGACCCGGAACGGTCTTCCTCGTCTCCAGCATGACGGCCGGCGCCGCCGCGTCCGCGTACGCCCGCGTCATCGTCGCGATGCCGCTCATCCTCTGCATAAAGTTCAACACCACCCGCTCCGCTCGCAGAATGCTCCGAGCGCTCCCCTTAATCCGCATGAACACTTCCCCGGCCTCGATCGTCTCTCCGTCCCGCTTCATCCACTCCACCTCCAACTCTGGGTCCACCGCGTCCAGCACGCGATTCGCGAGAGACTCCCCAGCGAGCGTCCCCGTCGCCTTCGCCAGCAGCGTCGCCGTCGACGTCGTGGTCGAAGGGATCGTCGACAGCGAGCTCACGTCACCGACGTCACCGGCGTCTTCGCTCAGCGCGAGCGCGATCGCGGCGTCGATGGAGTACGTCGGATGCGGGGGCGGTGGAATCTTCGGTGAACGTTTCGCTTCGTCGGCGACGCGCGCGACGTGCGCGCGCGACATAGCGCGACGGGTCGGGTGCGCGTTGACGCGCGCGCGGGCGGGAGCGAGGGCGAGGGCGACGCGCATGGCGCGCGGGCGGCTGTGGCGGCTGTGGCGGCTGCGGTGGATGGCTGAGAGTCATCACAAAAAGTAAAAGTGCGTTATGTACAAGAGCGCTCGACGGGTGCGAGCGGGCGCGAATTCGGTGCCAGACAGTCGGTACGGTTTCATTGTCGTACTCGTCACGTCAACGATCGAGCTTGGGACACGCGCCGATCTTCGCGCACGCGTCTCTGAGCTTTTCGGCGAGCACGTTCAGGAGCGCCGGAACGTACGGCTCCAAAACCGCGTCGCACTGATGCGCCAACTCCGGTCCGAGCGCGGCACACAGAGCGTCGACCTCGCCCTCGACGAAATTTATCGTCGAGTTCGACTTTATCTCGTTCGCCAACAGTTCCGTGGCCATGACGCAGTCGGCGCACGTCGAGTCGTCGGCGACGTCGCCGCGCGCTCTTCGACGCACCTCGTCCACCATCCCCGCACGCTCGACGCCCTCGATCGCCAACGACCGCGTACGTATGCTTCCCTCACACATATCCAGCGCATCACACGCTTGTTCCTCCAATTCGGGGTGATTCTCGATCCAGCGCGTCGCGAATCGCAATCCGGCTTCGCCCGCGGCGACGCAGACCCCCATCTGACTCTCCGACCCCCCCGTCGCCTCTTCGCACGCCCGAGCGATCGCGCGCGCGACGTCGCCTTGAAACTTCCCCTCCGCGATCTTTCGCTCGATCGCGCGCATGAAGGCGCGACAGGAGGCGCAGTCGTCGGTCGTTCTCGGTTGAGATTCAGATCCACCGAGTCGAATCTTCGACGCCATCGCGCGCGGTCGCGCGCGCACGGCGTCCGCGGACGTGACGAGCACGGCGAGCAAGACGCACGCGATGATGCGCGTCGTCCGTCGTCGAGGCGACATGACGGTCGACGTGCGCGGCAATGACGTTTCTTTGACGCGCACGCAGAATTTTAACCACGCGCCCCGCGCGCCACATCGTCACGCGGCATGCCCGCGAGCGCGTCCGGGAGCGACGACGACGTCGAGAGCAGCGACGACGAGCTCGCGAGCGCCCTGGAGGCTGAACTCTTCGCGAATGACGATGCGGAGGTGAAGGATGTCGCGAAGGCGAACGCTGGCGACGGTGATTCGGAGACGAAGCGCGCGAGAGAGGGCGGCGCGCTTCCGCGAGTGGTTCGTCGGAAAGCGTTTCGCGTGGATGACGCGCGAGGGAGGGGGGACGAGGGGACGTGCGCGCACCCGGCGTTTATGTTTGAGATTTGCGTGGTGTGCGGCGAACGGAAACGGGACGACGGCGGCGGGTCGAAGGGCGAGATGCGAAGCGGATCCGGGGAAGAGGCGCTTCGTGGACACTTCACGACGTCAATGCGATATATACACGAGGGGTTGACGCTGTCGAACGCGGAGTTGGAGAAGGCGAAACGGGAGGAGAAGGAGCGCGTGTTGAAGGATGGAAAGTTGACGTTGATTTTGGATTTGGATCACACGCTGCTCAATTCGGCACAGTTCAAGGAGTTGACGCAAGAGCAGCACGATTTGTTGCATCAGTGCATCGCCCAGGAGGCGAACGGGCTCGCAGAGCGGGAGAGACCGATGCTGTATTGCTTGCGGCACATGGGATTTTTCACAAAGTTGCGACCGCACGTCTTCGAGTTTTTGGAAGAGGTGTCGCAGATTTGTCAGCCGTACGTGTACACGATGGGGGATAAGGCGTACGCGAAAGAGATGGTTAAGCTCATTGATCCCGAGGGAAAGATTTTCCACGGGCGCGTGATCTCCAACAACGACTCCACGAGCTCGCACGTGAAAGATTTGGACATCGTCCTGGGAGGAGAAACCAGCGCCGTAATCGTGGACGACACCGAGCGCGTGTGGCCGGCAAATCACGGCAACTTGATTCGACTCGATCGTTATCACTTCTTTCCCTCGAGCGCGGCGTCGTTCCAACAAAAGGGACAGAGCGTTATGGAGCGCTCGATGGTAGATGAGGGTGAACTCGGTTCGATGGGTGCTAGAGCGGTGCTCTTGGACGTCTTGGCTGTCATCCAGAGCGCCCACAGGAGTTATTTCAAGCACGCGAGCATCGAGGAGCCGGACGTTCGCACTTTGCTCGTAAAACCGGATAGGATAGATTTGCCTCTAAGCGGCGTCAAGTTCGTCATGAGCGGCGTCACGCCGCTCTCGGACCGCAATCCCGAGCGACACCCGCTCCGCCTGCTTGCATCTACCCTAGGTGCTGAGTTCGTCTCGTCCATCGAGCGCGACGGCGATAGCGTCACCCACGTTATCGCTCGAAGCTCTGGCACCGACAAGGTGAAGTGGGCGAAGAAGACAGGCGGACGCGTCCTCATCGTCGAACCGTCGTGGCTCGTCGCATGCGCGCAAGCGAACACAAGAGTGAGCGAATCGCTCTATCCCATAGAGACGTAGAGAGAGAAATACATGTAGTTTTCCAACCGTTAGCTTCGAATCCAACTCTCGCGCCTCGCGCTTGCCCACTCAACTGTCTCGAGCAAAACTCCAGACCTCCACGCGTCGCGCCCTTCATGGGTGCCTCGCGCGCGAGCGCCCTCGCCTTTTTCGCCGGCGCCGCCATCGCCGCGCACGTCCTCACACGCGACACGACGGTGGGAGAGGACGTCCTGAGCGCTCTGGCTTCGGGTGAAATCTGGACGGTTTCACAAAATTCTCCCTCGAGCGTCCTCTCTGTCGACACGCGAGATACTTTGAGCGATGCGAGCGCCGTCGATGGGTTTCGAGACGTTTACCGCGCGAAGATCGAGGCACTGGAGCTCGGAGAGGCGACGCGCGCGGCGTTGGCAGCGACGAAGCTGACGCTCGCGCTGTGGGCGCGCGTCTTCTCTCCGGCGACGAACGCGCTGTGGGACGCGCTGAAGACGGTGCTGCGAGCGAGCGGGGATGAGGGTTTACGATTCTTGCGCGAGACAGAGCCGAAGGTGCTCGCGCTGTGGGCGTTGGCGTGCGTCGGGGCGATGTACGCGGTGCACGCGTGCAGACGCCTCGTCAAGCATCTGAAGCGGGCGAGGTATAGGAATAAACTCAAGTTTTTCATCATAAGGACGCGAATGCGGGCGAGTCGGCGCGTGCGAGCGATGTTGGAACCGTACGCAAAGGTGTACAGGAGTATCGCGGCCGTGGGCATGGGAGTGAGACGGAGATATTCGCTTGTCGTCCACAGCGTGCGCAACAAGAGTCGAATGGCGGCAAACGCGCTGCCACATGGGATTTTCTTAGTTTTAGGTTTTACGGTGTTCCGCATTATGCCACGCGGGTTGAGGCTTATGCTGAAAAAGCGGGAGGCATTGGCAACGATAGCACTGCTGATCCCGATGTTTCAGACCATGCTTGCGGTGGAGAGCAACGACATGGCTCTCGTGGAGAAGTGGTTACGATTCTGGGCGTCGTGCGCACCTTTCATGATGGCTGTGGACTTTCCATTCATCTTTTACGGCGTTCGGTGGTTCTTCCCGTGGTGGCCCGAGACTTTGGTGCTGTTCACGATTTGGCTCAATTTGCACCTCACGCGAGGAAGTCATTTGATTGTAGAATTTTTCACGCCAATCGTTGCTCAAGCGATGGCGTACCTGAACAACTCACCTGGCAGGTTGTCCATGATCTTTCGGCGGTCGGTTCGGCAAGCGCTGCAGTTGAGCGTCATAGTCTTGCGGTTTAGATCTCGTCGCGCGGCAGATGCGATGCGTCTCGTCATCGATAACATGAGCATACCGTTGGTGATGTGCACAATGTTCTTCTTCACGCCAGGACTCATCACGATTTACGGTTGTGATATGGCGGGCTTAGTCGTCCCGTTTGCGTTCACCGTCGACGGTTTACTACAGTATAGCGAGTTAAAGGCGCAACAGCCGAACGCAAATCGCGCTCAGGCGCGAAAAGAGGCGCAGAAGCATCACGAGGAAAAACTTCGAAACTGGTTGACATACTGGCTGGCACATGCGATGCTCTGGTCGCTCTCTCAAGAGCTCTCAAAGAGCGTCCTGGGTTGGTTCCCGCTCTGGCGTCACACGCAACTCGTCGGCATTTACTGGTTACAAGTTTTCGGCGGCGCCGAGCGCATCACCGAGCGCATGCAAGGTATCAAAGAGAAAATCATGCAAGACCATCAGCAAGCGTTGAAGGCTGCGATTGCGGCTGATTTAGAGGCTTCGGAAGCGGAGGAACGCGAAAGAGCCGCAAAAAGTGACGATGCGAGCGTGGACACAGAACATGTAGGCGAAGAAAAAGCGGAATCGATCGTCAGAGCATCCATCACTGACGAAGGATTACGTAAAAGAACCGTCGTCGCGGACGAATCACCAGTTAGTTGAAAGACACCCACGCCCACCACCTAGCAATTCTAGCTCTTCTATGAAACAAATGACAATCATTCGCGCACTATGGACGTCGTAAACGATAGTTTCTCGTCGAGCACCGTGACGTTCGTCTGACCCCACGTCTCGCGGTGGCGCGGGAACTCCTCCGCTATGCGATCAACCGTCTCCATCCCGCTCTCCACCACTCCAAAAACTGCGTGAGCACGTCCCCACTCCTCGTGCGATCTCACCGCTATGAAAAAGTCCGGCCCCTTACCGATCAAACACGCGTATCCGCGCTCGACGACCGGCGCCTCGCCCTCGATCCCCCCCGCGACGCCGACGAACCGTCCTTGCAACAACGCGTACGGCGGCCCCGGACCGCCGTACCCATCCACCGCCCCGACCGCCGGCGTCGCCTCGGCGCGATAAAACTCGCACCCATCGTCGCACGTCACCGCCTCCTCGATCGTCCGCACCAGCGTCGGCGACCAATCTCGACGGAGACGTATCTTTACCGCACCCAGGTCTCCTCTGCCAGGAAAGGTCATCGTCAAGAATGTCTCCCTCGTCCGTTCGCTGTACCCCACGAACGCCGCCTCGCGATCGAGCGGACGCGCCGCGCGCGCGCACGCGAGCGAGGCCGCGATGTGCGCCGCGAGCGCGAGCGCGAGGACGACGACGCGTCGCATGATGCGGTGCGCGCGACGACGCGTCCACCTCGGTGAAAACTTTGAGACATGCGTCAGTGCGCACCGCGTGACGCCCCGACGATCGCGCGATGGACCGCGACGGCGCGCACGGTGAGATCTCGCGAGCGTCTCCGTTCATTCGCGACGTCCTGCTGGCGCGCGTGCGCGCGGTGCGAGCGGGAGACGCGGAGACGTTGGCCGAACCGTTGGGCGCGCACGCGATCGAGTTCGACGACGTGCGGCTCGCGGCGTCGTCGGTGCGCGAGGAGAAGGGGAAGGACGCGGTGGACGTGAGCGTGGGGGCGCCGCCGGGGGCGATGGACGGCGCGCGGGCGCGGGCGGACGCGGAGGCGCTGTGCGCGAGCGGAACGGCGACGCGGGTTCGGGACAAGGCGAACGCGGGGTACGATCTTACGCTCCGCGTGGACGTGAGCGAGCTCGCGGCGATGGAGAGCGAGGCGGCGCGGATGGAGGTGATCGAGCGCGCGGCGAGGGTGCGAAGCGCGGTGTACGGGGCGAAGCTTCGAGCGCACCTGCGGGCGCTGGGAGAGACTGGCGGAACGGAGGGCGCGCTCGATTGGCACACGCGTCGACCGGGGGAGACTATGTTCATCAAACCGCAGAAGGATCAGGTGACGGTGGTGTTTCCGATGCGATTCGAGGACGCGCGGGATGCGGTGATCGCGACGCAGTTTTTGACGCACTTTGCCGAGGTGCGAAGGACGCAAAAGGATTTGTCCACGGCGCCCGCCGTGTCTTACATTAAAACCCCGCCGTTAGAGCTCAAGGAAGCGCCCGAGGAGTTGTTGAACGTGGCTGCGACGAACGGTGGGTACGTCTCTTTCGTTCTGTTCAAGAGACACGTCGCCGAAGACCGTCTCGAATCGACGGTGTGGAACATACTTACGTTTCACGCCTTTGTGAGCTTCCATATAAAGTACTCCAAGGCGTATTGGCACAGTCGCATGCGTAACAAGGTAGAATCGTGGTTGAGTATTCTTAAACGCGCGAAAAAGTCGGATCCGAACGGTCCGAAGAAGATGACGACGGCGAGTGGACGCACGTTTGTTCGAAAGTGATTTAATCAAAATGCCTAGAAGAACGGCGGAAGCAAGATAAACGCGCGGCGGAACTTCGGTCGACCGTCCTTACCATCGAAGAGCTTGCGCAATCTCGCGTGCTTGGCGATGGCCCACTGCATCATCTGCGCTGCGCCACAGCACATGAAAGTGTAGCCCATCACGCTCTGCGTTGCAATGTTAAAACCCAACCATTGGTAGATCTCCGTCGCGTAGTTCGCGCACGTGACGTAGTTGAACAAGAATCCACTCGGGATCACGTAACCCTTCTGGCCATCCTTACGAAGGTTGGCGAGGATGACGTGGCATCGCAGGTTGCTCAACTGCATCACGGCGCTGAATGCGAAACCAGCCAGCATTTGCGTTCGACCGACCGGCGTGTACGCCGGGTGATTGATGAAGTACGACATGAACGCACCGAATGTCCAGTAGTAACTGCAATTCCTCACCAGATTAAAAATCGGCATCGTCGCGTGCGAGAACTTGTGCACGAAGAATGTCTCCAGAATCCGCTTCACGTAGTGCGCCGTATGAAAGTACATCGCCAGCGTCTGCGCCTCCAATGGCGCTTTACCCGCGTTCTTAATTCCGAAAATCCCACCATAAATCTCCCGTCGCATGAAGTAAAACGGCAGGTACGCCAGGAGCGGTCCGAGGTACTCGAAGAAGAAGACGGCTTTGTAGCTCACCTGCGGGCCCAAATCCTTGAACACGATCGTGTCTCCGTCCTCCAAACCGTAATCGTTCAGCGACTTGTCGTCCACGAGAACGATCCCACGGCTCTCACCCGGGGCGGGCGAGGTCGTGAAGCGCTGTCGGCTCGGGTACAGCTTCTTCTTGAGCGCGTGGAGCGAGCGCTTCAGGTCGCTCACTTTCGCGTCGTTCGGGACGACGATGCCGTCCGCGACGACGGGGCGGCCGGAGCGGGAGACGATCTTGAGCTTCATCGCGCGCGCGCCGGTGATCGTGCCTCGAAGTTGAGGTCTGAGATCGCACGCGGCGAGATGACGGACGCGGGGCTGACGAAGCGATTTTTTTAGTGAACACGAATCGGCTCTCATTCAGCTGAGGTTTGCGCGGCGGAATGAAGGAACAATGGAGCGACGCGTTCGATCGGTGCGACGACGATCCAGGAGTGCGTTCGTTACGAATATTGGGTCGGTTCTGTTACAGTGCGCGCGATCTCGGTCGTCGCGCTCATCCGTCCTTACACTGGGCGTGGATGAAGCTCAAATTTTGAACGCACTCGGAGAAGAGCTCGCCGAGGACTTCGGTGATGTCAGCCTGGCCTTCCTCGGGATTTTCCATCTGCGGTGCCTCGCCCGTGGTACCTTGCGCCTTGGTCATCACGAAATCGGTGTCTCCGATCGGGATGATGCGCTTAGTGCCAACATCCTTCTCGGAGTTGGACGTGTACATCGCCTTGAGGCGACGAATGATGAGCTCTCTGAAAGCGTCAGCCACTGGGCTATTCTCCGGCGCTTTTGAGCGCTTGGCGAATATGAACAGCAGTGCCTCCCAAACTCGACGCATCTGCGGCTTGCAAATCTTTAGTTTCGAGGCCGCCGCATCGAAGATCG